ACATAATGCTTTAAAACAGCATAATCACTCCTACCCTCTTACATTATGAACTACAGGTAACATGGACACTGAAAAAAACTAGCAAGTAATTTAGTTTCATCAGCAATAAAAGCCACTGAAAATGCTAATGTGTGAAAAATAAAATATTCAAAAAAAAAAAGAAAAAAAAAAACAGAACAATTACCATAAATGTAAATTGATCATGCTGGTTTTTGAAAACATTCTTTGCCAAACAAACCTACACAGTAAATTTAATGTTAAACAAAAATACGGTTTGGCACTTATGGGGCAAATGTCACCAAAAATGGACAAAAAAGGAACAGCATAATTACTGTAAATGATTTCTCATCGTGCCAATTTCCCAAAGCAACCTGCCTCTTTACCAAACAAAGCCACTCAAAAAATATAATGTAAAACAAAAGATTTTTTGACAGTAATAAAATTGTTTTCAACTGACAATATATTCCAGAAAAATGAAAATTACATTGAAAATACTGGCAAATTCCATGGCTAGAAATAGTTCAAGGTTAATAATTTTGACAAATCTGCTGCAATGTTTTTGAAATTTGTAGAAATGATGCTTAAGAACAATAAAAATCTGAGATAAGCTTATCAGGTGACTGTGTGCAATGAAAGTGATTTTTCATACAATATATACAGAAAACTGAAAATTACATTGAAAACACTGGCAAATGCCATGGCTTAAATTAGTTAAAAGTTAATAACTTTGACAAATCTGGCCCCATAATTGTGAAATTTGAAAAATGATGCTTAAGAACAATAAAAATTTGACATTAGCTGATCAGTTGACTGTGAGTAATGAAAGTAATTTTTCGGACAATATATTCCAGAAAACTAAAAATAACATTGAAATGACTGGCAAAAAATAGTTAAACTTTTATTATTTTGTCAAATCTAGTCCAACTTACGTGAAATTTGTACAACTTTAGCTTAAAAACTTTAATAATCTGAGATTAGCTTATCAGATGGATCGATCTAAATCTGTGGGAACCCAGTCTAAGCCTTCAAATCCTATAGAACATTAAGGGAACACTTAATATTGTTTCTTAGTGCCCAAGAAATAAGCGAAATGCAAATTTATAACATACAAGCCAAACTTCCCTTTCCACTATTTTTCCTCTGTCACGATGAGAAACATTTTACTTTTAAGTTCTAATCTCAAACAAGCTACTTCTATTCATCAATGTCAAAGCTTATGAATATGTAAACATTTGAGGTGGGATAGGCCAATAAAATGATATATAAAACTCATAAATAAAGTAACTACCATGTGTTTAACAAAGAGCACCTGCTATTAATATTGAACTGTGGGCTAGCTGTGGTCCATATAGCGACTAGGTTAGGTCACACAACTCTGCCTTCTGGGAACGTTTTGAAGTCAAAATGGCGACTAGCACAAATAATGATGTTCTGATATTTTAAGAATTTATATACAATTTAAAACATTCTCAACGATAGGAAATGCTTATAGGTATGTGTAACAAACTCATAAATGATTGACCAAACTAACACTTTAATATAAAAGACAAGAAACTGACAGTCCACCTGCGTCAGTTCTGAAAATTATTAAACTATGGTGCACTGCCAAGTGTCCCACCTTATATGGCAGACATCTGTGTTTTGGTAATTTAAATGTGATTGCTGAGACAGGCACAATTCTTGATCTAAATAAAATGATCAGAACTCTGCCAAATCTGCTTGAATTTTTGTGAAATTTACACACAAATTGCCTAACACTTTTAAAAATCTGTAATATAATATGTCAGCTGCCTGATACTAGTTGACTTACATTTTGTGATGAGAAGTGAGAAAAAATAAAAAATTACTTATTAAAATTCTAAATTATGACAAATAATATTCACACCCCGAGAAAATGAAACAAAAAAGGTGATAATTGGTGTTTGTTTCTCAACAAAACAAAATCAACTGTTTAGTGTATCACCTGTAATTTAGTGTATCACCTGCAAGCAGTCCAGTTACTGTCATGGCAATGGGTCATCCAAGGGAAGTAATGACCACTGCTCCACTTTGGGTCCAATACATTTCATCCCAAACTGACCACATCAAGCTGGTCACTAGAGAGACATGTCACAATGTATAACTGTCAAACTGTGCGTGAACTAGAATAAAGATAAACGTTAATTAAATAAAACATTCAAAACAATCATCCACTGATGATCAGAAGCAAATGAATATCCAATATTTCAGCCCACCAAGTTACATGTCCTTCAGTCACTATATATAAATAATAAAATGCACATGAAAGATATTTTAAGATAAGTATTCATTTTGTATAACAATGTTTTGTGCATATAAGATGAAATGGTTTAATCTAAACAATCTTTATTGTATGAAAGGTGTGGACCAAAAAAATACTTGAGACTAAAAGTACAATGCACATTACAATTTAATTAAAATAAATGAAAAAAAACAGTGGAATAAAAAGTAATCCACGTTTTTCAAATCACAATAAAAACCACATGAGTCCAAAAACTGTGATAATTGGTGTTTGTTTTCTCTACAGAGGAAAAACAGAAAACCAATAACCTATTCTTACATCTAACACAAAACCAGACGTTCATTTTATGTACTACCTGCAAGAAGTCCAGTTACCTGTTTACCATGGCTGTCATGTCTCTGGCTCTTCACAACCCATTCATCCTGAAACTTGTTGTGTCTTCCACAACTGGGTGAGATGAAAGGATATTCCTGCAGCTGCCATTTCCTGTCTATTTCACACATCGGAGTTGTGGTGATTGAACTGTGATAAGTTAAAAATGACCTTGTCTTTTGGAGGCTACTGGACACCATTGTGACTGTTGAAACTATCACAATCTCAGACTGATCACAGTTAAATCAACAGAACTCTGTCAAATCTGCTTGGATTATTTGTGGAATTTGCAAACAAACTAACTAAACACAATAACTTTAGAAATCTGGGATAACTATACCAGGTGGCTGTGCCTTATTTTGTGAGGAGTAAGATGGGAGAAGTGCAAAAAAAATTATTAAATTTTAAAAAAACACAAAATATGATCACTGTTTTGTTGATCTATAGGGGAAGGATAAGAGACAAATTTTGTGTTACATAGCTTGTAAAACAAAACCAAGTGTTTATTTTGTGTATTACCTGCAATCAGTTCTGTTCCCATCTTGGAAATGGGTGACCTGAGGGAAGTCATGTCACTACTCCACTTTAGGTCCAATAAATTTCATCCCAAACTGACCACATCAAGCAGGCCACTACGGAGACACATGACACTGTACAACAACTGTCAAACTGTGTGTGTGAACTAGAAAAAAAAAGATAAACATTCATTAAAAATATTAAACAGTGGCCAACAGTGATTCACAGCTTTCTGTTTAGAATATGTAGCGTATTTTGCTTTATTATATTCATTAACTTGGAAAATGTAACATAAACACATTTAAATATTAATTATCAAGAAACAATACACTTAACTTCACAGAGTTGGGAAAGCATGCTGCGATCCTGAATTGGCGGTTAAACAGAAACGACATGCAATCGACACTTTTGTCCAAGCTCTCCGTTTAAAATATACATTGTATTTTGCTTCATATTCATAAAGTTTGGAAAATGTAACATTAAACACAAAAAAATATATTATCAGGGAAGAGTACACTTAACTTTACATTGTACACATGGATAAAACATGGTGCTGCGTTTGGTGCTGTCTTTCACTGCCTGCTTTTTCATGGTAAGGGCACTCTGAAAAAAGAACAATATAACTGAAAAAAATGATAATTACACTAAAAACACTGGTAAATTCCATGACTTAAAATAGTTAAATGTTAATAATTTTGACCAATCTTGTCCAATGTTTCTGAAATCTGTACAAATGATGCTTAACAACAATAAAAATCTGTGATAATCTTATCAGTTGTCTATGTCTTTTTTTAAGCATCAAATTTATTGGAAATTGATAACGAGAAGAGTGAGAATTCACCAAAAGAAATATTTCAATATTGCAATGTATTATTTACTCTCAAAGAAAACAGCAAATGTGATGATTTGAGTTTGTTTGTGTAGGAGGTAGCAAAATACCTATAACTGTTATCTGGAAAACAATGTTTACCCATACAAGACTTCTTACTATCAATGCCAGATGCAGATTACTCCTTACAATGGGTTTCCGGAATGGGTTGCTGTTAGCACAATATTTGACAATGTCCTAAATCTTGCTACATATCATGTATTGTACACATGAATAAGATTTAGTGCTGCTCTTGGTGCTGTCTTTCACTGCCTGCTTTTTCATGGTAAGGGTACTCTAGAAAAAGAACAATATAACTGAAAAAAAAACTGAAAATTACATTGAAAAGACTGGCGAATCCCATGACTTAAAATAGTTAAATGTTAATAATTTTGTCAAATCTTGTCCAATATTTCTGAAATTTTTACAAATGATGCTAAACAACAATTAAAAATCTGTGATAAGCTGATCACTTGTCTGTGTCTATGAAAAGTATTTTCTTCGGATGATATATTTGAGAAAACTGAAAATTACACTGAAAACGCTGGCAAATTCCATGACTTAAAATAGTTAAACGTTAATAATTTTGACAAAATGTGTCCAATATTTCTGAAATTTGTTTAAATGATGCTTAACAACAACAAAAATCTGTGATAAGCTGATCAGATGACTGTGTCTAATGAAAAGTATGTTCTTCGGATGATATATTTGAGAAAACTGAAAATTACACTGAAAACACTGGCAAATTCCATGTCTTAAGAGGGAAATGTACCCAAATATTGCTAAAAATCATCACTTTGGGTTTTTTATGTCTAATTATTGGTTAAATGTGTATCTAACATTTAACTGAATAACCTTTTTACATTTTGAACAGAAAATATGGTGGCTTGGTCTGTGCCCAGCCTTCGTTGCCAAGGGCCGTTGGCATGGGTAAACTCGGTGGGAGGACCTTAGCAGCATCAGTACGACTCGCCAAACAATAAAAAAGGAACGTGTCACACTCCCTTTTTCATAAACAGCGATTGGCAAAGCATTGCCTATTGTTCCGCTTAAGCTGTTTTGATAGTCGCTCTTGATTGTGATCACCACTAAGGAGAATCTTTTCTGAGACATTGGATTTTCTCAAAATACACGTTTTTCCTTGAATTGTTTGTTGCTATACATGTATTTTTGATTTTCTTCTTAATATTTTGAGATACGATAAAAAGAGAAACATTCCACTGCTTGCTACCTGTGACAGCAACCGTCAAACTATCGATCAATCTTCCACAGCAGCTCTATACAGTCGTCAGATTTTATAGATCTATGCAACTTGGGCCTAGAAACGAGGTGCATGTTTATCAAATCTTTAACTTGACAACTAATGATTACTTGGCTCTACGATGGTGATGATGGTGATAATTTGTGTTTTGGACTTTTTCTGAGCAAATCAATGTAAACATTTCGTCAAATACTGACTGGAATCATATACAAGATTGCTTTGAAAAGACTTGAGCCCATATCCTAGCGTAACCTTTCATCGAGTGGCGTAAAATTTCAGTACATGTGCAAAAAAATACTAAGCAAACAGAGCTAATGATATGGCTAGACTCCTTTTTTTGCGCGAACAACAGTAGGCTGAGATCACGTGAGGGCTGTATTATTAATAACATTTTGATTTTTCAGAATTATTCATTTCAGCTATGAGATATGAGCTGGAGAATAAGCCCTAGCATTTTCAACCTAAATGCTGGTATACTGCGAGGTACAGTTCTAGATGCATGTATGCACTTTCAAGGCCGACATGGTTTTTTCTTCAATAATTATCCCAATTTCTGACAAACACAACATTACACATTTCCTCTAACAAGCCCTGCCTGCATGGTTGCATCTATTTCTTGTTGTTGATGGTCCGATCGGCGTCCTGTAACACGACCCTGTTTTTGAACCATTTTTTGCTCAGCTAATGTGGACAAGACCGCCTGCGATGATGCTATATTGTGTGCACATCCTAGAGCGCATCCCTAACACTTGCCCCAGCGTCAACTGATGTGGCCACTGATTGGTTGAGTAGTTAGAGCTTACTTGATTGCCTGTCAATCATTCTGGCAGTGCTAGCGGTAACCCCTTGAAGTTATTAACAGAAGGTGAGATTGATACAAAAATAAGATTTTCTGACATCCAAATGCATGTAAGCAAGCTAATTTCAACCGGCTATAGAGTACCTATCTTCGCGATCATCAGAACGATAGCAGGTAAAGCTGTCAACATTTTAATTTGCTATTTTGGACAATTAACCTCCCTGAAGGGTTTTTGCTTTCAAGATTGACGAAATACATGTAGCGTTATCGGAGCAAGCTTTAACTGTCTACCTGTACACTTGAGGTAGATCAAATTCACCAAGCTTATAAAGAAAAGTATGCACTACAAGTACGTTTTAAAAATTTTTGATTGATCCTCTCTTTTCCAATTTATTGACTTTGAAAGAGAAAATTCCTTAATATTTTGATGTAATTTCACATTTTTATAGATAAAATCATCAATAAGTCTCTAAAGAAAAATTCCTGACTCCCTTTTGTAGTACTTTGTTCAATTGTTATAACACCATTAAAAGCATATTTATAGCTGTCCAGGTGCCTGAGAAAATCAGGTGTTTAAAAATGGTGTTTTTGTCCCATGTCACATGATGAAGTTGGAGCTGTGTTTCAAGCATAATTAATAAGAGGTTTTGAAGATACATTAAATGAATGTGATAGGAATAAAAAAAACTAAGACCTTTATTTTCAGAGAAAATCTCCAACCTACATTCCCCCTTAAAATAGTTAGAGAGTTAACCAAAACAAATATTTCAATATTGCAATGTATTATTTACTCTAAAAAAAAACAAAAAAAAACAGCAAATGTGATGATTTGAGTTTGTTTGTGTAGGAGGTTGCAAATGACCTATAACTGTTATCTGGAAAACAATATATACCCATACAAGACTTCTCCTTACTTCTCCTTAATGCCAGATGCAGATTACTCCTTACAATGGGTTTCCGGAATGGGTTGCTGTTAGCACAATATTTGACAGTGTCCTAAATCTTGCCACACATCATGTATTGTACACATGGATAAGACTTAGTGCAGCTCTTGGTGGTGTCTTTGACTGCCTGCTTTTTCATGGTAAGGGTACTCTGAAAAAAGAACAAGATAACTGAAAAAACTGAAAATTACATTGAAAAGACTGGCATATCCCACGATTAAAATAGTTAAATGTTAACAATTTTGTCAAATCTAGACCAATGTTTTTGAAAATTGTACAAATAAAGCTTAACAACTTTTGTAATCTGAGATAAACTGATCAGTTGACTGTGTCTGATGAATAGTGTTTTTTTTTTAATGGGACAATATATTTGAAAAAACTGAAAATTACACTGAAAACACTGGCAAATCCCATGACTTAAAATAGTTAAACATTAATTACATAATTATAATTTTGTCAAATCTAGTCCAAAATATGTTTCTGAAAATTGTACAAATTAAAGGGATAATAACTCTTCGTTTCGGCCAAAAAATGAATTTTCTTGGAGTAAACAACAATTTTCCCATGCTTACCAATGGTTAATGAATCCATTTTTACATTCAAAGTTAGTCCCTGGTTTTTTTCTAAAAAGTTTGGTTTTTTGTTAAAATCTCTTAAGAGATTTTAACAGAGTATAGCCATCAATGGAAGTCATGTGGTTTAAAGACAAACTCAGATATCAGAATAATAACTATAACTGCCATTTTTGTGGTAAAACAGAATATATTATATTTCTCTGAGTTATTCACAATGTTTTTATTGTGAAATATATTTCTCATGCGAAGAGTTATTATCCCTTTAAGCTTAACAACTTTTATAATATGAGATAAGCTATAATCAGTTGACTGCATGTGTCTAATGAAAAGAATCTTCCTNAAATCTAGTCCAAAATATGTTTCTGAAAATTGTACAAATTAAGCTTAACAACTTTTATAATATGAGATAAGCTATAATCAGTTGACTGTGTCTAATGAAAAGAATCTTCTTCGGACAATATATTTGAGAAAATGAAAATTACACTGAAAACACAGGCAAATTCCATGGCAACACTGGTACCTCTAGCTGCTCTCATCTTCTCCATGTACTGGCATTTGTCGCACATCTTGATCTGCAAAATGCAATAAAATGCATATCTATTACAAGGAATGATGTAGTAGCTCATGCTGGCCACAGTGCACTAATTAATCTAGTTTGACAGCTTGTTAGAGAAGTTTGCACAAAACAACAAGTGAATAATACTATTCAACAAACCAATCAGAAACAAAATCTGTCACTTTATGTCAGTTATGGACAGATGATAGATGGACAGTTTAATACTAAGTTAAATTTATACAAAACTGGTGATTAAAAAAATTGTTTATTTGCCTTAGTGTTTTTTCACCCAACACACCACTTTATAGGTGTTACGATTTTCTTGTTACAAATTCATCTCATACTTGCCCTTTCTCTCTCTTTCCAAACAAAACAAAGGTATACAACAGTGTTTCCAAAAAACTACAATACATGTACTTTCATACAGTAATGACTACAATTGCTGCATACCCATTTGTTGATGCATGTAACCATGCTTCTCCAATAGAAGAAGCTCT